TAACCGGGATTGGAAACTAGGATTCCCTGGTGGACAACGTCCGTGATTGAATTGGGCGTTAAATAGAATAAATTTGACCATGTGGCTTGCTTTTCATGCGGAAATAAGGAATTTTTGGTTTTAAAGCAGTACTGTAGTCAAATACAATGCATGAATTAAAATGCTAACCCCCCAATTCCATGCACACAATATCACCCTATCATCACCCAAAAGGAGAAACCTCTGCTTGTTTTGTAAAAGCTGTAACAGGTACGACAGTGGACTGTTCGCAGAAACAGTATTTCAGATATTACTCCTCTCACATAGCAAATCAGTAAATGAAACTATGACAGTTCCATGCACAATGATTGTGGAAACATTTCAAATGATCTTGTTAGTCTATTTTTACCCGTGTAATGGAGCAACAGGTACAAAAAGTTTTGAAAATTTGCAAGTAACAGAAATTTGAACAATATCACAGTATATTTGCAAAATAACAATGGTATCATTATTTTTTTCATTATAGTCATGTTACACAAACACTAAAGTATTGAAATATTATTAAAATAACAAAAAATCAACATTGGTTTAAATACAGTCTTCCTTTGAATGTCGTCGATGAGTAGCCATTTTTTGACCACACCCACCAAAATCCAATCACGGACCCTGTGTCAGCCGGTTTGTACTGGTTTGAATGGATCACGTGACCTAGTTTCCAATCCCGGTTACATAGTCTATCATATCTATGGTCTACGCCCACAATAATGATGATGAAGTTGACTATATCGGACTAGCTCGGCTTGCTCTTTTCTTCTCTAAAGTTCTCTTTTGAGTGTTTTCTTTATTTATTGTGTTCTCTGGCCTTAATCAAGATTGGAGATATCTTAAATTTTTAACTACAGTAAATTAGAAGGCAATATTAATTTTGATTCAGTAGCAGTTGGTAGGGCAAATGCCCTACCATGCCCTACCTTGGATACGCCACTGCATGTATGTTATTACTTGATGTATGGGAATACCAACTCTCAATACTCTTAATAAATGTCCATCCTTGTTTAAATGTCTATGCCACACACACACACACACACACCTTGCCACAAGATACTAGTATATGCAACAAGCAGAAGATTCATTGGTAAGGAATAAGGAATTATTATTCAGTTATTAATGCTGCTTATTTTAAATGCTAACTAAATTAGATCTCTATAAGACATAAGTGTCTAGGCATTTCGACTGTAAGGAAATACACTATTTATTCATTAATTTTATTTATTTATTTATTATTGTTTACCTGTTCTGTAGTGATATATTCAATTCTTGTTTTGTCGTGTCAAAGTAAGCAATCCTTAGTGACGTCACTATCTAAGTTTTCCTACTAATAAATTCAATAATAAATTAATAATAATAATAATAATGATGATAGTAACTAAATAATGAACTTCATGTACATAATCCCTTTTTTGATTTATTTCATTGATTCAAACATACATATACAAAACATAGTACATAACACTACAAGCAAAAATTGGGCCTACTATAGTATAGGGACATTGGCCAGGCCAAATTTTGCCAAAAATGAAAAGTAGGAAAATCTAAATTTTTATAATTTTTTCTGATACATATACATGTTTTTATGTTGCATAGAAAGTTTGATCTGATTCCAATCAAAATTGAATTTTTTACAAATTTTTTAAGTTACTCAAAAATTTACTCTCTCCTAGCTTCTACCAGTCCTGGCCATTATATTAAAAATGATTTTATATCATAAATATTATAACGTCATTAATAATAAAATACTCACGCGCTAATGAAGAGCCTGTCCTGGTCAGCAGGTACATGTATAATGAAGAAGTTATCAGGTAGGAGACTAGCACTAATGTGACTCACATCAGCTAGTGATACTCTGTGCTGTACCTTTTTTATTGAATTAACCTCCAATAGATACAAACTACCATCTATTAATATAATCAAGAGTAAATAATACCTAAAGAGAGTATCCAACAGCCCTATTGAGGCCTGCTGCAAGTAGTCTCACGTAGCCAGACCCAACCCCTTTTGCAGACTATGCTGCAAGTCACATTCTGCATAGCATACCATATAGCAGAAAATTTTCG